GGGTACAAATTAATGTATTTTAACTTATTAATTAAAAACTGAGTGGATGGAGTGGACTATGAAATAAATAGACTTTTAATTTTTTTGCAAGAGGGCAAGAAGGGGGTTCTTTTGCTTGGCGATTTCAATGCCAAAATGCGTATCTGGGGGAGTAAGAGTGATGATCCAAAGGGGAGAGTTCTTATCAATGCTGCCACTAAAGCTGGTATGGTTTCTTTGAATAATGGTAGTCCTACCTTTGCTGTAAATAGAGCAGGTCATGGAAGCCTGTCGGTACTCGATTTGTCTTTCTCGACTATAAGTGGGAACGTGCACTGGGAATGCAATCAAGGTTATGTCGGTGGCAGCCATCATCGGCCTATTGTCATAACAGTTGAAAACTTTTCCAAAAGACCTAACATTTTTGTACAAAAAAGGAAACTGACAATTGCGCTGTCTGCGGTTTGTGTGGATAGATAGATAGATAGATAGTTGGTTGGGTAATGCACTGCGACCGCTGGGTCTATTGTGCCCCTAGCTCATCATAACTCCTCAGCAAGCCCCAGAGTGTCTAAAAACTTCATAATGGACCCCGGGGACAGTGAGTGTATGTGCTCCTCACTTGGCCAGACGTACCCTATGCTTCTAAGCCTCCTGCGCGCCACGGCCTCACACTCTACAAGAAGGTGTAGGGGAGTTTCCCTGGCGGCATCGCAGAAGCGGCACAGGTCGCTGGACCAGATACCTAGTTTATACATGTGCCCTCTCAGCCTACAGTGGCCGGTCAAAAATCCTGTGGTTACCCTCAGTTTGTCCTTTGGAAAATTCATGAGTAGCCTGTATCTTGTCAGATTGTAACCTCCTAATAGGCTCTTCGCCTGACGCTGACCCATGGTGTCGCGCCAATGCAGTTCCCTCAGTTTTCTAATGTCCCTTCTGAGCATATCCTTTATAGTACTTGGTCCCACTGCCAGAAAGGGCTCAGGTCCTATCGGGGCCGAGGAAGCAGNATGCAGTTCCCTCAGTTTTCTAATGTCCCTTCTGAGCATATCTTTTATAGTACTTGCTCCCACTGCCAGAAAGGGCTCGGGTCCTATCGGGGCCGAGGAAGCAGCTAATCTGGCCAGGTGATCAGCCTCCTCATTTCCTACCACCCCCGCGTGCCCTGGTACCCACATTAGTTGGATATCATTGACCTCCGCCAGAGCATTAAGCCTCTCGACACATTCCAAAACCAAGGAGGACTTGATCTCGAATGATGAGAGAGCCATAAGTGCCGCCTGACTATCACTTAGTATAAGTATTCTTTCATCCCTATAATTCGTACTCATGTTGATCTCAGCGCACAAACTGATGGCATAGCCTCCGCTTGAAATATGCTTGGGAAGGGTCCCAGGGGCACCGAAAGCTTCAGCCAGGGGCCGTACACGCCTGCTCCAATCCCCGCAGGTGTTTTGGAGCCGTCAGTGTACCACTGTATTGTGCTCGCCTGTATGTGCCTTTCCATAATAGAGGCACACCAGGTCACCTTGCTGTAGGTGTAAGTCCTGAAATTCCTTTTGAAGAAAACCTGTCTGTTGATATCGTCTCTGGGGAAAAGAGCCAGGGGGAGCTGGGTACCTAGCTTGTCCCTGTTCCTAGATGATACCACCTTGCCTTTGCCGAAGCCCTCCCTAGCAAAGTTGAGGAGGGTTCGCTTTGCAACCTGTTCAACTAAGAGGTGCAGTGGCTCGAGTTCCAGCATTGCTCCCGTAATGCACACATATGCCAAACGTTGAAGCTTAGAGAGCGTCTGCCTCACCGTTACTTAAGTAGTCCTGGAATGCCAAGCCATCGCACCGTACGTTACTATAGGTCTCACTATCATGGTGTACAACCATCTGAGGATCCTCGGGGTGCACCCGCAGGATTTGCCCGCCAGACGTTTGCACACCATAATCGCCCTGGTGGCCTTGGAGGTGACCGCATCAACATGGGTCTTCCACAGAAGCTTGGAGTCCAGGGTAAGCCCCAGATACTTAACCTCTGTGGCGACGTTGATTGCGACCCCGTCCAGGGTCAGGTTCCTCATCCCCTGAAAATTTATTTTCTTGGTGAAGGGGACTATAGCTGTCTTGGAGGGATTGATATTTAACCCTACATCTGCGCACCACCTTTTTGCAAGGTTAAGACCTCTTTGGACGATGTCACAGAGAGTACTAGCGAACTTCCCTCTAGCAATAATCACTATGTCGTCCGCATACCCTTGGCATCGAACGCCCTCGTTAGTGAGTAGCTGTAGGAGTTCGTCCACAACTAAGCTCCACAGTAGAGGAGATAATACTCCCCCTTGCGGGCACCCTTTTGTTGTTTGTATTTGAACAACGCTGTCACCGCCTTCAGTTTCGGCTATCCTGGTCTGCAGTAACCTTGCTATCCAACGCCGGATGGTTGGCTGGACGTTATATTTCTCAAGAGCTCTATCAACTCCCGAATGGGAGGCATTATCAAAGGCCCCCTCGATATCGAGGAAGGCACAGAGCACCACCTCATCACACTCAAAGGCCCCTTGTATTTCCTCCGTTAAGGCATACAGCGCAGTGTCCGTGGATCTACCCACCCTGTACGCGTGCTGGTTGGAATGCAGAGGGGTCTGTTTCAGAGTGTTAAACCTGATCTCATGGTCAATAATTTTCTCCATTGCCTTCAGCATAAATGATGTGAGACTTATCGGCCTGAATGACTTGGCAAGAGAGTAATCTCTCTTACTTACCTTCGGGATAAAAATAACCCTGGCCCTTTGCCACACCTTGGGAATGTGGGCCAGCGCTAGACTGTCCCTCATAACATCTACGCGATGTGGGAGTAAGAGCTCTCCACCCTGCTTCAGCAACACTGGGCATATACCATCCACCCCAGGGGACTTGTACCGTTCGAAGGAGTCCAAAGCCCACCGCACCGTTTGCCGGTTTATAAGGCTCTTAGCCAACTTCCAGTCCGGTGGGGATGGCCTGTACGCACGGAACATAGCTTCCCCAGTGGTGGGAATGGCGTCCGGAAAGTGGGCCGACAACAGGGCGAGTGCCCTTTCCTGTTCCGTACCTGAGATGGTCCCATTAAGTAGCCTCGTGCCTGTGTTGTCCCTTGCCAAAGCTTTATGAAGCCTAGCAGCTACAGGAGTGGATGCAATGTTTTCACAAAAGGTCCTGAAGCTGCTACGCTTGGCCTTCCTGATCTCCTTATTGTACTTTGTCAGACTGACTGAGTATTCCTCCCAGTTCCCGGTGCGCTTTGCCCTGTTAAACAATCTGCGAACCTCTTTCCTAAGAACCGAGAGTTCCCGTGACCACCAGGGAGGCTGGGCCTTCCCTTTCGGCTTTGACACGGGACAGCTGGACGTAAAGGCATCTAATATTGTGCCGTCCAGCTTATTAACCCTGTCCTCTGCGCCATACAATCTACCTTTCTTCCCTGTACCTCTATTCTTGGTAGGTTCAGTCTAAGTACCTCTTCATATTTGGCCCAGTCAGTTCTCCTGGGGTTTCTCTTTTGGTAACCTGTCTGACAAGCAGCTCCCAGTGCAAACCGGACAATCCTGTGGTCCGACAGTGAAGGCTCAGGTGAGACTTTCCACTGGCCGATCAGGGGACTGGCCAGTCTGTTGGTGATCGTGATGTCAAGAACTTCCTCTCTGACCCTAGTAATGATCGTTGGTTCATTGCCGACATTGTGAATGCTCAGGTCTGCACTTATGATATATTCTAAAAGGCACTCACCCCTACGGTTAGTGGCCGAGCTGCCCCACTCCATATTGTGGGCGTTTGCATCGCAGCCTAGAATGACAGGAAGTCTTTTCCTGCGGCAGGATTCCAGGAGCTGCTGTACCTCAAGGGGCGGCACGTTGGCGTTGTCCCCCGGAAAATAGGCTGCAGCCAAGACCACCTCCAACTCCCTGCCATCAACCATCAAGGTAGTCTGGACTGCTACCAGGTCCTGTGTTAGAAACTCTGTAATGCAGAAATAGTTAATATCATTTTTCAGCACTACACACGTTCTGGGCCCACCATATTAATTTTTCTTTAATATCTATAAGGTACAGACATCGACCTGTTACAATTTTATTATATGTATAGATGCAGATATAGATTTAATTTATTTTATCAATTTAATACAATAAAATTTTTCAAACAGGTGGCAAACCTCCCTAAAAATATTTTCGGCAATATAATTTCCTAAACCCTTTCAGTTTGATACCCATATTGCAATATTAAATTTATCTTATAAATTGAATTAAATGTAATTTTTCAAACAGGTGGCAACTCTAAAAAAATATTTTTGGCTGTAAGCCTTCTTCAGCCGCTTTCTTTTGACGCCCATATTGCAATATTAGTTTTTTCTTATCAATTTACTTAAACTCAAATTTTCAAACAGGTGGCAACTCTCAAATTTTTTTCTTCCTATATTTTAAGTTAGACCTCTAGCAATACATCGGTGTAAACTGCATTCAAATCCATGCATTCATTTTCGAGTGATGCGCGAACGAACATACAGACAGACAGACAGACAAAAATTCTAAAAATGGTTGATTTGGCTTCTGGTGCTCTAATAAAGACCCCCCGCATTAATTTTTCTTTAATATCTATAATGTACAGACATCGACCTGTTACAATTTTATTATATGTATAGATTAGGATATATGGTCCATTTTTTTCCGAGAAGGGGACCAGGGACTGATCTATTCGAACAAATCGTATTTACGGTCCGATTTGCTTAAAATTCGGTACGCAGGTAGCTTTTTAGCATATATGATCCATTTTGTCAGAGAAGTGGACCAGGGACTGATCTATTCGAAGAAATCGTATTTATGGTCCGATTTGCTTAAAATTCGGTACGTAGGTAGCTTTTTGCCTGGATAAGCTTATAGATTCCTGTTTTCCAATTTTCATGCAATTTCGAATATAAATAGCTTTAAGAACGACCATATCAAGGGGCGAATTCGTCACTAGGCAAGATACTGTCAACGGATACTGTCAAAATATAATTATAAGTATCTGCGCGCCGAACCCGAAGACCATCACTTCCTTCTAACTGAACCGCCACTGAATACGCCAGAAAATCGCGAATATACGGCTGAGATTATGTTTGAAACATTTAATGTTCCTGGTCTCTACATAGCTGTGCAGGCTGTGCTTGCCTTGGCCGCCAGTTGGGCTGCCAGACCGGTGGAAGGCCGCACACTAACAGGCATTGTTGTAGATAGCGGCGATGGTGTAACACACGTTATACCCGTGGTCGAAGGCTACGTAATTGGATCTTGCATCAAACATATACCCATTGCCGGCCGCAATATAACCTCATTCATACAAAGTTTATTGCGCGAACGTGAAGTTGGCATACCGCCAGAGCAAAGTTTAGAAACTGCCAAAGCAATCAAAGAGAAGCACTGCTATATTTGTCCAGACATCGCCAAAGAATTTGCCAAATATGACACGGAGCCGGGCAAATGGATACGCAACTATACAGGTACTAATGCGGTGACCAAGCAACCATTCAGTGTTGATGTAGGCTACGAACGCTTCTTAGGACCTGAGATTTTCTTCCATCCTGAATTTTCAAACCCCGATTTCACCATTCCACTATCGGAAATCGTAGACAACGTAATACAGAATTGTCCGATTGATGTACGACGACCTCTTTACAATAATATAGTTTTGAGTGGCGGTTCGACTATGTTTAAAGATTTCGGACGTCGTTTGCAACGTGACATCAAACGATCAGTTGATACGCGTCTACGGATCAGCGAAAACTTATCAGAAGGCCGCATTAAGCCAAAACCAATTGATCTACAAGCCATTACACATCATATGCAGCGATATGCCGTGTGGTTTGGAGGCAGCATGTTGGCATCCACGCCTGAGTTTTATCAAGTGTGCCACACAAAGGCCGCCTATGAGGAATATGGACCGGGAATTTGTCGCCACAATCCTGTTTTTGGCACCATGACTTAATCATATACCACCACACTGTGCACACAGAATTGTTTTTCACCTCTACCTATCACTCAATTTCAATTCCTTTTAAATTTTGTTGTATGCAATAGTAGAAATAGTTCAAGTCATGTGCGGAAACAGATATCAAACAAAAACAAATACAAGATGGCGTAACGCACACATAACTTTTGTTGAAAGACGCTTGTTTTCTTAATATGTATAACAAAATTTACCTATGTTAAGCTGCTAAGTTATAATGTCAGTCGTTTTATGTTATATTTAAAGTCAATAACTAATGATAAATTTGCATTTTTGTTTTGGTATTAGAATTAAAGAGTCTTATGCTTATTATAGCGGCAAAGAAAAAATATAATTATAATATATAATATATAATATATAATATATCTCAACTAATATATATTTAGAACCGTTTGTTAGTTTTCGCAAGGCTCGAGAGCGGCTGAACCGATTTTTTTGAAACTGCCACCTGCCGCACGTGTCCCAAGGATGGTTTTAGGCTGAAAAAAATCTATGTGTAAAGGGGGCGTGGAACTTCCCATACAAACCGAATTTCTCATGCTACATATCTCAGAAAGTGTGCATAGTATGGAGGTATACGAAACCAATCGCATACTCTTGGAGAAAAATTTTAGCTATTGTAAAAAGGGGTGTAACATCTCACATACAAACCGAATTTTTCATACTGCTTATCTCTGGAAATTTTTTGGTAGAG